TTTGGATCTCTGGTTGAGTGAATTTTTTCTACTCTGTCTTCTAATTCACTGATCCAATCCTACAGCTTCCTCTACTCTGCCGTTTATTCCTTCCAGTGTATTCTTTATTTCTGCTATGTCATTCTTAATTTCCTTCATAGTTTCCATATATTTTTTCATGCTGTTGAGCATCCTTACAATCAGTATTCTGAACTCTGTGTCCGATAGATTGCTTATCTCCATTTCACTTAGCTCTTCATCTGGAGACGTCTCTTGTTCTTTCATTTGGGGCTTGTTTTTTTGTCTCCCCATTTTGGCTGCCTATTTGGGTTTGTTTCTATGTATTAGGTAGACCTGCTAGGACTCTCACTCTTGTTGGAGGGTCTTTGGTACAGGCCAGTGTCAGACATTGTTTGTGACTGGCCTTGAGTACCCTGTTTGGAGCTATCAGCAACAACCCATGACTTGAAGTACCCTTTGTTGGGGCTGGGTGCGTTTGGACAGGATCATGATGCACATCAAAGTCTGCTTTTCCAAGGCCGGGGCCCAGAAGAAGATTAGGCAAAGACTCAAAGCCCTCTGTCTGCAGGCTGATTAATCTGATTCTCTTAATGAGCCTCAGGCTGTAGAAACTGCAAGGGGTAGGGAGAGAAGTTTTCCAGCAGGGTGGGGCAATTGCTTCCTCCTCAGGCAAAAGCTGCTTGGAAGGTAAATGTCTGCCTCTGCAGTATGGGTGAATGACTCGGCACAGGAATCCAGAGGGGTGCCCTCTGAGCTCTATCTCCAGAGCCCACAATCCTAGATTCTCCTCACACAGCTCCGGTCCACTCTGCCCTCCCTCTGCTAGAGCCAAAGGTGAGTGGCTGCACACAAAACTATGCATTGGCTCTTTAAGAGGGTGTCTGCATTCCCAACCGTCTTTCCCTGGCCGACAGAAACCCTGCTGCTTTTCACAGCCAGATGTTATGTGGGCACCTTTCTCAGTTCTGGTGCTCTTGGCTGGGAAGCCCAGCCTGAGGTTTAGGCCCCAGAGTCCTCAGTGGGAACCCCCGACAGCTGAGCTCTCCCTCTGGACCTTCAGCTGCTGCCTATGGGAGCCTAGCCAGCCCTATCATGTCCGCACGTCCTACCATTCTCTATGTGGTCTCCACTTTTCCTCCTTGGTTATGAGGGTGTTCTCTAGCTCGTCTTCAGTTGCAGTTGATTATTCAGGGTGGTTTTTCTATATTTTAGTTCTAATTCCAGTTTGGTCCTGGGAGAGTGTCAGTGTAGCTTTCACTTAGTCTGCCGCCATCTTTAATTTCTCACATTCTTTTTATTTCATGGTAATTTAGAGGCTTTTCTTAAAAGATTATCTTAAGGTCTTTTTACAAAATGTCATTTTTTTCTGATTTATGTTGTCAGGCAGTTAACATGATATAATTTTAATTTTTTTCCCCTCTAGGGTGGCACTTTTACGATCTCCAATTTAGGAATGTTTGGAATTAAGAACTTCTCTGCTATTATTAACCCACCTCAGGCATGTATTTTGGCCATTGGGTCTTCGGAAGATAGACTGGTTCCAGCAGATAATGAAAAAGGGTAAGTGCCAAAATGCAGAGGGAGCTGTAAATTCATTTTCATTACATTATATCTGTGTTCGAGTCTCAGTTTTAGAATTATTGGCATGGCATATTGGAACTTTAGGTAGAGTCAGACATAAGTGTAGAATGAAGTTTCTCAGGGCAGCAAGTCGTCTTATTTTGCTAAATGCAGATAATCTGCTTTGAGATGGGAAGCCTTATTTACTCTACGTAAATAAGGGGTCACCATGCTTTTTTCTTAAAGAGGCAGGTAGTAAATATTTTAAGTTTTGTTTTCATATGGTCTTTGTTGCAAATACTCTGCGACTGTAGTGTGAAAGCAATCATAGGTACTATGTAAATTAATTTCAGTAAACCTGTATTTGGTGGCATTTGGCCTGTGGGCTTTTAGTTTGCCTATCCATGCTCCAGATGGCTGTTTGGTCTGTTTCTTCAGGCTATTAATTTGGTCTGGAAGTATACAGGACATGAAGAATAGGTAGAAAATAATGTTACCAAGTTGGGACTGTAAGGTCGGAGTTGGCATTTGGGCTGGTTACTGGCTACAATCCAGTGTTTGCTTTTAGAATACCTAATAATGTTTTTATCTTTTTCTAGATTTGATGTGGCTAGCATGATGTCTGTTACACTCAGTTGTGATCATCGGGTTGTGGATGGAGCAGTTGGAGCCCAGTGGCTTGCTGAGTTTAGAAAGTACCTTGAAAAACCTATCACCATGTTGTTATAATTAACCCAAGAATTTCTACTCTCCTAGGTCACATTGGTTCATTCTTATCAAGATACAAATATGTTATTAAACAGGCGTTTCTTTTTATTTTAAAGCTAACCAGTTATTTTTTAGTCTGTCCAGTTAAGTTATTTGTAATGGTCATTGCTGAATTTTTAAAAATGCCAGTTATACCCAAATATTGTGCACATTTAGTAAATACCAGATTTTAAGCTGTGTATACCTAGGCAAGGGACATGTGGCATAGCCCTTTGGTGAGAAGTACTTCCACTGGGAAATATAAAAGGTAGAATTGTGGTTCCCTATTGAGTCAGGTATATAAAAGTAACCTGGATGAAACCTTGAGATTTTGAAATTTAATTGCCTTAAATGTTTTCCTTATATTTGAGGAAAAGAGAAGTCAGGAAAATTTGTTCTCTTGGAGAAAAGGTTTGAATCGAAGCTTGATGTTGGAATTTAACCCTAATTAAAATTTTTCTCTTACATGATCTTGGTTTTATTATGGATGGGAAGAGTAGAGAACTTCAAGGAAAATAAGTGAAATTTTTAAAAGTCAACATTTTCTTAGATTTCTTCAGCCACTGTTCTTTGTTTATTTTTCTATGAATCCCATAATGGTTGTTTCCCCTTCCTGAAATGATAAAGAATATAAGCTAGCTGCTTGGCATAAATGAGAACTTGTGTGGGTATTTAAACAACTTAAATGTATAATTCTGAGCAGAGTTCTACAGTTACCTCCAAATAAAAGAATATGCTTATAGAATTTAACAGAGAAGTTGTAAAAGTAGAATTTTCCCTCCAGTATCAACTGGTAGTTACTTGCAAATGAACTTAATTACCAGAATTTACTCAAATAACTTTGTAAAACTGTATCTAGTAACAATGGAATAAGTGTACATATGTAAAGTATGGTTTCTAGCAAGATATGTGCCGAAGTGCATATGTATATCAACAAGTTTGATATGAAAACGAGGGGGAGAGAGACATTGGTGAACAGTTTAGAATATTAAAAGATGATGACCAAAGCAAAATGGTCATTTCTACTTGGATAAAGTAAAAACTGTTAAATATGTATCAAAAAAGTGTCCTGTGTTTTCCCACCCCATTGTAGACTCATGTAAAATAAGAAAGCCCTAAAATCCTACTGGAGAGAAAAAAATTATTTAGATTGCATACTACCTTATCAGCCTAAATGTTTTTTTCCAGTTTGCCTTTCTTTTGCTGAGCAGGGGCAGGGAAGGGGGGAGGGGTGATGAATTGGGAACATTATCACAATTCTAGGCTTTCTATTGAATTGATGTGCTGTAATAAATATTTGAAATTGTTTGACTATTCAAAATTAATCTGACAAGTGCTTCCTTGTATGTAATATGTGGAGCTATCCCCTGAACTTTAGGTCTTTTATTGTTGAATCTATTTCTAAATGTTCATTATTACGTGGTGCACAAGTGACACTCCATATATTCCACAAATACTTCCCTTGTACTGTTATGAAAACAATACAATAATTGGTCATTATAGCTTGAACTGAAGATTATGCAGAAGGAACAAACTTCTCACAAGGGACCATCATCAGTATGAGCCACATCTGGTTCAAACACATGAAACTTCAGAGATAATTCATTCTTTGCTACTGTTCATGGCTCTTTTGTTCCCTTGAAAGAAAAATAAAAAGTTGCCTTTTAATAAAAATTGTTCTGAGTTAAAAATTAGTCTGGCCTGAAATCTAAATCTGGATTCAGTCTATTTATCTTTCCAAAATTGAAAGAGTAAAAGTTAGAAATAGTGGTTTGGTTCGTATTAGATTGTTTTAAAGTGAAACTGTGTTTTCAGTGTGTTTAGTTTTTGACCTGTTGGTAATTAATTCTCACATTAAATGATAAGTGCAGGGACAGCTATGTATGTATAAGCTCTTAATACAGATGCATTTGATTTTATATAATTGCTAAAATTAGGACTGAATTTGGAAGGATATAATCTAATACTTTAAGCTCAAGGAGTTAATAAAGTCCTCTTGTTGGGATGTTGCACATAGCAAGATGAAATTGTGGTCTAGCTGTCAGATATTTTACTCCAGTCCTGAGGTTTGTGAATGTAGTTGTGGTATCTCAAGGCATGGTCTACAAGAGGGGTTATAGGAATGTGTTGCAAGGAATACTCATCACCTAGTAATGCAGAAGCCCTGGAATACATGGGAAATAATCACTACTGATAACTGATCTAAAATCAAGTTTATAGAAAAATCTGGTCTCTACCCAAGGACAATTAATGTCTATCTCGAATAATTTCCAGGTTTGAGGAAAAAACATCTTGGTAAGATTCAAATTTAAACTCCACAGTCCATTATTAGTTAATGCTCTCCCTGGACAAAGTTTTGTTTTTTGTGGGGACGAGGAGGTGGAAATGTTTTCATCAATATAAAATTCATTGAAATAAAAGTGAAAATATTTTGGGATAGCTAGGATATTTAACATTTAAACATTAAGTGTGGTAGGACTTGATAATGTGTTTTATTAAAGAGTACACAAATACATAACTGCCAAGAATACAAGAGTAGAAATTCAGCCCAGCTGGAGTGGTTCAGTGGTTGAACATCAGCCTGTGAACCAGGAGATCGTGATTCGATTCCTGGTCAGGGCACATGCCTGGGTTGGGGGCTCCATCCCCAGTAGGGGCGTGCAGGAGGCAGCCGGTCAATGACTCTTATCATTGATGTTTCTATCTCCCTTCTCTGAAGTCAATAAAAACAACAACAACAAAAAGAAAAGAGTAGACATTAGTTATGGGAGTTTCTAGGAAATAAGTTTTGACAGTGGTTTTGCAGAAGAAGGTGAAAGCCCTCCAAATGTTTTAAGAGTTTGTTAATTTTAGGACATCATGCAATTCTAGAACATTTCCAGATGATAAATTATCCTATTGCTAGAAGGATTCAAATCCAGGTGAGGTTTAAGAAAATTGTTTTTGAATGTCACTTATCAATTATTTCTATTACATGTATAACATTAGTTTATAAAGTTAAAGTTTCAAAATTAATAAGGACTTTAAAGACTTTATGTTGAACTAGAAACTAATCACAAGGAAGTTGGTTCTGTATCCAGAAAAGGTAATTAAGGGATGCTTATAGTTTGATCTGAGCATTGCTTACCTTGGATATAAATTGGAAAGTTGATACCTTTGTATTGAACAACTGTCTGACAACTTAGATGAACGGGAGTTGAAAAGTTTATCACCTCTATTTTAAAGTTATTTTCTTAGGAGAAAGGCATTTGTCCCAAAGTGAACTACTTTTTCTTAAAATACAACTGAATGTATTTTGCATCTTATGTACAATAATATCCAATTACTGTTACTGCATCCAATCCAGAGAAAAGTCCATATCTGATATTAAAAGGCCTGCCTGGGTAGCTTGAACTCCTGCCAGAGCTGTTTTATAGAAGTACAGAGGTTCACAGAAGCATAGGTTTGCATATTCTTACATTGGCCTTGTGTATTTATCGCTGGAGGAAACTTTTACTGCTATGGCCCCTCTTGATAATAAAAAAACTCGCACAGTCTGGGATTTATTTCTGACGCAGAAATTTACTAGAGATAATTTTTTTTCACCTAGAAAACAGAATTCTCACGAAACAAATAGAATTTTCCCAAATGGTATTTAAGTTTTTTAAGACCATTATATATCTTCAAAACAAGTATATCATGGCAATCCTATTTTTAATAGTTTTGGCTGATGCCAAGTTTATTTGAGGAGGAAGTGAGTTAAAAAACAAAAAAAATGAGAACCTCTCATTCCATGAAAAGGAGCTCTTAGAAAATATGAAACTAGTGTTTAAGATACACCAATATCTCTTCACCCATAATGAAGGTCCTATAATTCACATAACTTTAGCACTGGAAACCTGAAACATGATGCTCTTGACTTACGCCAGTGGCATTGTGACCATCAGTGTAGCTTTCTCTTTGATAAATTTTGCTGTAGTCATTTCAGTATCCACAGATTCTGGAAGATTCAGATGTAATCTGTATTTCTCAGAGGCCTCAATCAGTAAATCATCCTAAGAATAATAAATCAAGAGAGATTTTAAAAGGTAAAAATTGGAAGTGTTTCCTGGTTCAAATTAGCGTCATTACTGTTCCCATTTACTCCTCCATAAGAGGATCCCAGCATACTGCCGTGTGACTTGCAATGAGCAGTAGTATTGCTGTTGTAAATCCCTGAGCTTTTGAGATTTGTTATTGCTCCTTAATACATCAAAAGTTAACTGAAGATGGGTGTTGTCATCCCAAATTATGTGGATTGACTTTGGTTGGACTAGCAAACAGCAAGGAAACACTGGAGACTGGAATGGTGGTGACTCATGTTTTATAGTGGTAAAGGCCTTAGTAAAACTATCACAATAATTTGTAAGACAAATTATGTAATGTAATTACATAATTACATAATTCCAAATTTTGGAAGACAAATTAATTTGTGGCTTTAGGTAAAGAAGTGGGAAAATAAAATGTTGGTAGCATGCATTGGTTTTTTGGGCTATGTTTAACAAGGTATGACAAAAAGAGATGAACTTAGACTAGAATTTACCGGTTTGCAAGCAGAGTTGAAAGGGAATAGACAGAGCTCAGAAGTTCTAAGGCTTGACAAAAATGCAACTAATTTTTATTTTCAACCAGTAAATGATAAAATGACGATGATGATGAATGAAGGCTAAGACAGCCTAGAGGCAAAGACTAAGTCACAAGTCTTTATACTTTTGTTAAAATTCCTACCTGGGTTAAGGTGGACATCAGTAAAATCCTTACATTTGGCTCAAATAACAGCTATTAAGTTAAAAAAGACAAGCCATTGAAAAATAGACATGTCTAAAAAAAGAATTGTTGGCTATAACACTGATTGGAATTAAAGAAAATGTTACCAGCCTTGCCTAAGACTAATTTAAAATAATCTTTGGACCCCACATTCATAGGCATGAAACAGGCTCAGTAAACTGCTCAGCATCTAAGGATGGCATATTCTCCAGTGCTTTCTTTAGATATGGTCAAGGTAGATAATGAAGGGGAGGAAAACACCTCCCAAAGAATGCAACTGAAGGTAATGGAAAACTGAAACTAGGGGGCTAGGTAATAAATGAACCTGTCATAGCCCTAAGTGAGAACATCCTCTATAGCCAGGAAAAGGGACCCTCAAAATAGCTGACTGTCAGGATTTCAGCATTGCTATGTATCAGTAACTGCTGTATGCCTCATATTTTTACCATTTCTGAATTGAGACTGTTAATAGTGGTTATGTTCTCCCTATTCCACAGTGTATGGCGCATGGGTTATGGGAGTAGACAACTTGTGCTTGCAGTTCATAGGCCTGGTTCAAGAGGAGCAGAATGCAGTCTATGATGGCAAAATCCTGTACTTTGGAGCCTGATACTGAAATTGGAAGTGTCTTCCCTGGAGAAAAATGCAAATACTTACAAGAGAGTGGACTGTGGTAGACTATAGGATTGTTGCCAATTATTTGATCTGCAAGAGGATTATATGTATGTCCTGGGCATATGACTCCCTGTGACTACTGAGAATATTCTTCCCTGCCCTAATGATGTAGGACTTGGCCTAGTGACTTTCTTTTGCCAATAGGATGTGAGTAAAAGTGACATATGCCATGTCTAAAAGGATGTTTTAGGATCCATTGCATGGTTTGGTCATTTTTATTTTCCCTCTGCCATGAGAATGGCATATGTCAGATGGGAATTGCTGCTTCACCTGTATCTTGAAATGTGTAAGATTTGTTAAGCAGAGCAGGCCTAGCTGATGTGTAAAATTATTGTAAGTCACTGAGAGTGTGGAGTTTGTTACTACAGCATAATATAGTTGAATGTTACAAATTTACAGTAGTATCTATTCAACCTACCTCAGAAACACTGAGGTCACAGAGAGATACTGAATTAATACCAGGTAATTCAACTTTTAATTCAATTTTCAGTGGTTTCTGATGCTGATCCATCACAATTTTTAATTCATATGCTGGTCTCTTCATCTCCACTTGGGTCTCTGTACTGGAAATCTCTTCTATCAGAGACCCTTTTTTGCTTGAAACTTGGTCTTTTGGCAGTAGAAGTTCAGGGAAGTGATCTGGATTGCTCACAGTACTGCTTCTTATCTGTTCAAGGGTAAGTTCTTTATGAAAAAATAAAAGCAAGGGGGATGGATAAAATCACAAAATTAATCAACAACATGAACTATCAACCTACCTCTGAAACACTGAGGTCACAGAGAGATACTGAATTAATACCAGGTAATTCAACTTTTAATTCAATTTTCAGTGGTTTCTCTTGCTGATCCATCACAATTTTTAATTCATATGCTGGTCTCTTCATCTCCACTTGGGTCTCTGTACTGGAAATCTCTTCTATCAGAGACCCTTTTTTGCTTGAAACTTGGTCTTTTGGCAGTAAAAGTTCAGGGAAGTGATCTGGATTGCTCACAGTACTGCTTCTTATCTGTTCAAGGGTAAGTTCTTTATGAAAAAATAAAAGCAAGGGGGATGGATAAAATCACAAAATTAATCAACAACATGAACTATCAACCTACCTCTGAAACACTGAGGTCACAGAGAGATACTGAATTAATACCAGGTAATTCAACTTTTAATTCAATTTTCAGTGGTTTCTCTTGCTGATCCATCACAATTTTTAATTCATATGCTGGTCTCTTCATCTCCACTTGGGTCTCTGTACTGGAAATCTCTTCTATCAGAGACCCTTTTTTGCTTGAAACTTGGTCTTTTGGCAGTAAAAGTTCAGGGAAGTGATCTGGATTGCTCACAGTACTGCTTCTTATCTGTTCAAGGGTAAGTTCTTTATGAAAAAATAAAAGCAAGGGGGATGGATAAAATCACAAAATTAATCAACAACATGAACTATCAACCTACCTCTGAAACACTGAGGTCACAGAGAGATACTGAATTAATACCAGGTAATTCAACTTTTAATTCAATTTTCAGTGGTTTCTCTTGCTGATCCATCACAATATATGAGCTGCAATATATGTAGTGTTAGCCAAGATGGCAGATAAAGCTGCAGCTAATTGAGTTTGGGAATCTTAAATCAAAAGAATCTTAAACCAAAAAGATTTAAAAGTTTAAAAGTTTGCTGGATTTAAAAATCTTTAAGGACATGCTAATATTTCTAATATTTAATCTTCATCTTTTTCTATTTTAAGTTATTCATCTTTTAAAATTGAGATTTCTAGTTTGCAAAATGTACACAGGATACAAAAATTTTAAATCAGTTTAATTTTCCATTTCCATTCATTAACTTACCCTTTCTCATTTTCTCTCTTAAATCTGTGGGGTCAGTATGGATTCTCATCAGATTTTGTTTCATCCTTTGAATGCTTCCCTTTATTTTAAATTTGGTAATATGGTAAAAGTGTGAGAGAGTGAACTGGAGTTGTTCCTCAATGCATTCCATGGCCATTCGTATTAATTGATCTTTTTTCACTGGGTCCTTTTCTGCTGCCTGGAGAACATCAGGATTGTAGGCAACATCAATGACTGTGTAAACATCTGCGTGTGTAAAAAAAATAACAGAAAAAAGATAAACATCTGCGCGTGAGATTCAGAGGGCGTGAAATGAAGACAACTTGTTTCACTAATGATATTGTCAAGTAATGTATTAAGCCATAATTCCGATAAAGCTAGAAAGTAAAAATTCTGTTCCTGTATTTTTCAGGGGCAATCATAATGATGCTATGTACACAAAATTTCAATGAGGGAATTTCTTGGCACTTTATATGGATTAAAAACAGCTTATATTATTAGACAAACAGTACTCATTTTGCATAAAGGTACATTTGTTAGTCATTATCTACATTATGACCAAATAAAATATTTTACATGTAATATCTTTTACCAAGTAAAATCAGGTTCATGCTATTCCCAATAAAAATTTTAAAACGTGCTTTCTGTCCCATAATTCTATGTACCTGATGTTTCAGACATATCTTCTGGTCTGCCAACACTTAGAGGTACTGGATGAGTGGTTGATTGGGGAGCTGGAATCCTTTTCCACTGACATAGGTTGATAAAAAGTAATTTTTCTTTAGGTTTCTAGAAATCAAATAATTGTGCATATCTTAAAACCCAGTTTTTAAATTTTTAAGTAGTATCCTAAAAGTAACTTAACAGAATTGGAAGAGTGAAAATTTTAGGCTCCAAGTGAGTTATTACATGTATTAAAACTGTGTTTGAGAAATTATACTGTTACCTGATTTCCCCAAAGCTCTTCTATCAAGAATCCAGTTGCTACTTCGAGAGGAAGTCGGAGGAGGAGGGGAACTGATATAAGCAGCTGTTCCAGACGAATTTTTTTGACCCTCTTTCACCATTTCCTTACCTCCCCAAGCAAATAAGTTCTCTTTATTTGAAAAATCTCCAACTCTATGATTCTCTATTAAATCATTACATTTTATTTTCCTTCTAGCAGGAAAAATGGCTCATTTTGAGGTCTCCAAAATATAACAAATATAAATTTCCCATTTTTACTCCTTCAATGCAATTTTCCACACTACAGTTCATTTTCCATCTAGAGTGGCAGTTTCCCTCATGTTTTCTTGTGTTAAAGTAACAATGGCTAAGGGTAAGTTATTCTCTGTTATTGCAGGATCATTTCATTCAGGACCTCCCCATCCAGGGGCACCAACTCTACATACCAGAATTCTTGTTTGAAGACAGAGCTGTGGTTCTGGGGCAGCACAGAGCTGTTTGCCCTCTTTCAGCTGCTGTTGAATGAACTTCTCATAGCTCTCAGGGTTACTTTCAGCAAGATCATCTAACAGGTTCCAGAACTGAGTAACTTGGGTGAGCAGACCCTTTGAAGTTGGTTCCATGATTGAGGTGACCAGGCCTCTGAAGTCTGTGGAAAGACCTGACATAAGGAAAACAATCTGTGTAACTATTGATTCATTTCTTCTTTTGGGGGAGGAGGAACAGGTCAGGAATTGTTTTGGTGAAGTTAGCAGTTATCCTTAACACCTGTGTCTAAAACATCACGGATCAGCACTACTTTGTCTTTTCCTTATTCTCAAATTATCTAGTACCACTTCCTAAATTCTCAAGCTGTCCTCTCAGATAATAAGGCCTTACCTCTGCCCAGACCCTCAGAGTACCCATTTTAGTCTGGATTTCCAGGGGGCTTCCTTTTTCCAACACCTGGGTTTTGGCTGACTGGTATCCAGACTAGTCTGGAAATTGCCAGAGGTGTGTGTGTGTGGCAAGGGCCACATGAGACTTCCTCAGTCGGCAGCATAATTTAGTAGTCCTCAGCATGAGCTTGCCCTGGCTGGTGTGGCTCAGTTGTTGAGTGTTGTCCCATGCACCAAAAGGTTGCAGGTTCGAGTCTCAGTCAGTACACATGCAGGAGGCAGCCGACTGATGTTTCTCACATCGATGTTTCCCTCCCGCCCTCTCCCTTTCTATCTCTGAAATCAATAAAAACCTTTTTTTTTTTTTTTAAAAAAAACAAGGACTCTGGAGCCAGAATGCCTAGACGCCATACTTAGCTCTATCACTTACTGTGTGACCTTGAGCAATTAATTTATATATGTGCCTCAGTTTATTCTCCTCAAAATGAAGACGATAATACCTATCTCATAGGGTTACCGTGAGGATTAAGTAAGGTAATGCAGAGAGGATGAGACACTTGGTCAACACTATATGTTAGTAATAATATCCTCTCAACGTCGTAAGAGAAGTTCCCTTGCACGTCCCCCTCACGCACACACACTGGAAGGTGTCCCAGAGCGTCCACAGAATGAGGAAAAGAGGAGGTCTGGGTTCTTCGAATACTCTATTAGGGTTAGACTAAAACGGAGGCTTAACTAATGGACAATCATTCCAGCGGTCCGCGAACCCACCTCTTCTCTCGGTTTCTTTACCAACCGCGACACCTGTTACCAGGGTAACCAAACGGTGCAGCGCCTAATTGGGTCCGGAAAGCTCCCGGCAGGAAGGTCTTTCACCTCCAGTTCCGGAACCTCCCTCGGCTGCTGTGGGCCTGGCTCCTCAGCTGAGCCCGGCCCACTGCTTTTCCAGGAAGGCGCCCGCCTCCCCTCTGCACTTGTCTCCCTCTTGGGTGTCCTGGAAACCCTCCCTGTGGAAGTCCGGTCTCCCTTTGGTGGGAAGACTTTCTCAGGAGCACGACTTCCGGCCTGGAAGGGAAGCCTGCTCCCTTTTCTCCCAGCCCGCTTCCTCCCCCCTCCCCCGCCACGCGAGGCCGCGGTGCACGGTATGGGTGTGTTTGTATGTATTTGTGTGGGGAGGGCGTTTGGAGGGAAGGCCACCAGGAGCTTCTTGGCCGCTGGGGGGCAGGGGTCCCGGTGACAGAGATGGGGGTGTTTTCTCTGCCTTCCACTTGGGAGCCTCAGCCCCCCCCTCAGGCATTTTAGATACCTCTTGGGGCCCAGTCGACGGCCGCAGCCGGCCAGAGCGTCCCCTTGGGAGCGAAACCCAGTCCCCGGGTCCGTCCCCGAGGAGCGTGAGCGGGGAATGCCCCGGCCAAGCCGGCGCCCGGCCTCCGCGCCGGCGCAGCCTCCGGCCTCGGTGCAGACAGATGCCTGCCGGTGGGTCTGGGCCCGGGAAGGGCAGCCGTGGCCTGGGGCGCGGGTGAGGGCGGAATAACCGGTGGGAAGGCTGCGTTTTCACGAAGGACTCGGGTGAAGCTGCAGAGCTGCCTTTGAGCACTGACTCCTTGGCTTCCTGGGTCGGAGGAGATCTTGTAATGGAGTGGTTCTTCGTCTCACACTAACAAGATGCCTGATTTCCTCAGGATCGAGGGGTGAGTGAGCGGTGGGGTGGTTGCACAAAGTCCCTGTTAGCCACACACGTGAATAGCCCTGTCATCTATTTTTTGGAGGCTTCTATACAAAATAGAAAATAAAATGCCTCTGAATGGAGAAATTTAGGGTGTCTCTGTGTTCGATGTTTTTAGGCGTCAGTTTTTGTTACTGTTGACATTTGTGGCCCCTGGCACTCTCAAATCGAGATGTTTGCTTCTTTGCAAACTAACTTTGGGATTGGAGAATTGATTTCTTATCTGAACCTTGTTTGCCTTGGACTATGTGGCCTAAGACAAATTATGGCTCTGGGAATTTTATCTACTAATTAGGAGTGAAGATACTTGCCTCATATAAAACAGATTGTTTTGAGGAGTAAATAAAATAGTGTCATTTCAAAGAATTCCAATGTACACTGGCTCCTTTCATCCTCACATTTCTATGATCAGGTATTTTCCCCTTTTAATGGTGAAGAAAAAACTATTACTCAGGACCTCTGAGTTCTAAGTGGTCTTTCCTTTACCTCATGCTTCTTTATAACATTATAATAAAATATAAGACAATAAAGGAAATTATTTTTAAATGCTATTTATTGATTCATTTCAGATTGAAGAATGTCCCGGGTTCCACTGGGGAAAGTCCTCCTAAGGAATGTCATCCGGCACACAGATGCTCACAATAAGGTGAGAGGTACAACCTAGTTATTCCTTAACACTTAATGAAGGCACACAGTGTGCCAAAACGTTATTTGGTTACTGTTGGGAGATACAAAGGTGAATAAAAATAGATAATTTTAATATAGTTTGGTAATTACTATAATAGAGACATGTAAAATGTTTTAGTGTACTAAGGAAGGAATGATGAAATCTACCTTGGGAAATTAGGAAAGGCTTCACAGAATGGGTGGTATTTGAGGTGCTGATATTTGAACTAGTTCTTGTTGAACAGATTTGAGTTTACCAGGTGTAAAAGATCATTCTGTACAGAGAGAAAGTCAATAAGAAAATGCATGAAGCACTTCGGGCATGGCAAATTGTGTGCATCCAGAAAGTAGTGAATTTGGGGAGTAGTGACAGAGGATGAGGCCCTGGTGGATTATGATGCTTGGAGATTAGACTTTTTGCTCTAGGCAATAAATAAACCATCAAATATATATTTTTAAAATATTTTTTTTATTGATTTCAGAGAGGAAGGGAGAGGGAGAGAGAGATAAAAACATCGATGCGAGAGAAACATGGATGGGCTGCCTTCCACATGCCCCTCACTGGGGATCGAGCTCGCAACCTGGGCATGTGCCCTGACTGGGAATCAAACAGGTGACCTGGTGCATGGGACGACGCTCAACCAACTCAGCCACACCGGCCGGGCAACCATCAAATATTTTTAAGCTGAGTGTGACTTGATTTTGTATTTTAAAAAGGTGATGTTTTAGCTGGGTAGGGGATAGATCAAATGGGGTGAAACAGTAGAGGGACTAATTAGGAGGCAATTGCAATGTTCCAGGTGAGAGATGACGAGGGGGGTTTCACGTGAAAGCAGTGACAATAGGGATGAAGGTGAGGAATTTAGGAGGCAGGATCCAAAGAACTTGGTGACTGATTGGATGGTGGTGATAATTATGGAATTAAATATAACTACCTTGTGTGGCTGGGTAAATGGTGATGATGCTATTTGAGACAGGAAACAAAAGAAAAGGGACAAGTGTGATGGTAAATGTAATTAGTTTGGTTTGAACATGTTGATGGTGAGGTGCTTATAGGATGTCCAAACAGTTGGAAATTCAGACTTGGAGGAAAGGAGAAACTTTGATAGACATAAAGGTTTGGGTCTTACTGGTATATAGGAAAGGACAGAGGTCGTGAGAATAGGTGAGGTCACCTAGGAGAGCACATGTACAAGGACCCTTGTTTGGTTTTCTTTGGTGAACTCTATAACTCCTACTTTGATCTTGAATGGTATTAGTGTCATATCATCTGATAATCTGATTGTGAGTGAGGTTATAACTGTTACCTAAGCAGGCTCTGCAATTGCGTTAAACCACCCCTAGTTGAATGATGAACTTAGATTTGAAACTGGTGGCTGAAAAGATAATCTAGCACAGATTTAACAAAATATTATAGGAGGATTTAGAAATAAAACATTTTTGTTTTTTGGTGAGTTGTAATCTGCTTCTCTGGAAATTACCTAGCAATTCTCATGTCTTTTTATTTTATTTTGCTTTGTTTTCAATAAAAATTAGAATGTTGTAAAAAGGGACTTAGCCTGGAAAGTTTAAAGACCTATCCTTACTAGTTGTTTTTTTTTAAATTTAAATATATCTTTATTGATTTCAGAGAGAGGAAAGGAGAGGGAGAGAGAGATAGAAACATCAATGATGAGAGAGTCATTGATCGGCTGCCTAGCCCGCAATCTGGCATGTGCCCTGACCGGGAATCGAACCCTTATCACCTGGATTCTAGGTCGATGCTCAACCGCTGAGCCATGCCCGGCCAGGCACTAGTTTTTTGACTTTGGTAAAATCTCTGAGCTTTTGTTCCTTCTTAGTAAAATAGAATAATGGTATCTGCTTTGCTTTCCTCATAAGATTGCTTAAGGTTCATTTGAGATGATACAATTAAAATGATAAAGCATTTTAGAAACATAAGGGATTATCATTTGGTAATTGCAGCATAATTGCAAAATTGATAAGGTTCTAATTGTGTCTGTGCAGGGGTTAAAAGATTCTGTTGCTGCAGAATTCTTCATATTTGGAATTTACTGGGTCGGATTGTTTAATCACACTGAGAAACCAGAATTAGTTTCCCAGGTTCTTGATCATAACCCAGTCTAAAATCCAATAATTAGTGCACACTGTATTTTCAGTTACTTTTTTATGATGTAAAGTGTTATTTTTAGTAACTTATTTTAATTTCTTTCCTTTTAAAAAAAAATCTAGATTCAAGAGGAATCAGATATGTGGAAAATAAGAGAACTGGAGAAACAGATGGAAGATGCTTACCGGGGGAACAAAAGGAAAATGTTACCTAGCAGTTCAAGGTGAAGTTGGAGCTCTGAGAACCAAAATAATTCTCATCTTATTCAGAACCATTGATTTTTGTTTAAAAACATTTTGGTATGCTAAAGATATATGGATTCAGTTCTGTGAGTCCTTAAGCCTTCCCTCTTTCATAAACCTAGACCCAAGCATAAGGCAATGGCTATTATGCATATGGTCCCACTCTTTGTACTTATTTGCAATGGAGAATTTTAAAAGACTGCTTTGAACAATTGTAAACATTAAGGATTTTGTGGATTCTGACCTTATCTGATGGCTTTTAACCTTAGATTTTCTTTTTGTATCTTATGGTCACTTAGCTGATCATATATATGCCTTTCCCCTGTTAGTCTTTCACTCTTTCTCTCAGCCTTTTCTTTTTCTGTCTTTTTTTTTTTCCTCTCAGCCTTTTCTTTACTCCATCCACTCACTTTTTCCACCAGATCACACAGCCTTTCCCATTACCTTCTTACTAATTTGAGTGTAAATATGAAGGATTATGCAGGCTTAGTTGTCTTACCTGCAGCGGTATAGGAATGTCTGAGTATTAGAAACATCTTTTGGGCCTCCTATGCCTATTAGCATACAGCTGTGTGTATGAAAAATGACTCAAAGCAGTAGTGCTGATTTCTAAAGCCGCCCGGGAAGTGGTTAGCAGTGAGATATTTAAAGAGAGTGAGTGCGCCTGCACAGTATGTGGACTGGAGTGTGTCTGGATGTGTGCAGATGGCTTTAGACAAGAAAGCATGCAAGGTATGCGTGGTAAAGAAAGCAGAGCTCCAACATAAAAATAAATATATTTTCAGCCTGCGTTTTTCTCTGAAGGTTCTTTGAGAATTTAGAAGTGCTGTTAGTGCAGGTGGCGACTTGTTTTGTGTTGGTTGGTTAATTCCCAGTGGCACTTCCAAGAACAAAATACCGTTTTTTTTTTTTGTTTGTTTGTTTTTTTATAATTGAGGCTTTTTAATTTTATTTAAAAGTTTTTAAAACTATGTCTTTATTGATTTCAGAGAGGGAAAGGAGAGGGAGGGAGAGAGAGAGAAACATTATTGATGAGAGAATCATGGATCGGCTGCCTCCTGCACGCCCCCCACTGGGGATCGAGCTTGAAACCCTGGCGTGTGCCGACTGGGAATCAAACCTCGACCTCCTGAATCATAGGTCAATGCTCAACTGCTGAGCCACGCCAGCCAGGCATAATAT